TTCACAGGACACTGGTGCACTCAGTCAGGCCATCGGTGAGCTCTGTTGCAAGCTGAGGTGCTGGATGATTCTCACATGGCAAGGGAGATCATGGGGGCCATGAACCGCATGGGGCAGAGGTGGCTCATTGGCTAGGCCAAGCTCACCCGTGGGTTCATGCTTACTGACAACAGGACCAATATGGTGAAGGCTGTCCATGAGGTGTGGCGCACAGGCTGCACCGAATAGCGAGGGATGCCTTGGAGGGGGACAGAGCTGGCAGTGACAGCGTCACTACCAGTACTGCAACAAGCCAGCTGATTTCAAAATGCAGGATGATGGCAGGCTACTTCCACCACAGCATCAAGGGGAACAAGTTGCTGTGGGGGAAACACAGAGCCAAGTATCCTGCAGCACAGAATCATACAGGATGTGGCAACTCAGTGGAACTCCACATACCTGATGCCCAAGAGGCTGGTGGAGCAACAGAAGGCCATCCATGAGATGGCCTTGCTTGGGGAGATTGGGATCAGCGTCCCTCTGAACAGAGCTGAGTAGGGTACCATTTCCTAGATGGTGGTCCTCAAGCCCTTCCTTGACACCGAGACCCTTAGTGCTGGTGGTGCCCTCCTCAGCCAGGTGATCTTCCTAGTGAGGGAACTGGAGAACCAAATGGAGAAGTTCCAGGGGATCAGTGTTCCTGACTGGAGCAGGCCACTGTCACCAGACGTGCAGGCAATGGTGAGGCAGCTGAAGGAGGGCATCAGGAGATGGCTGGATCCCTTGTGGTTCAGTACGGTCCACCTGATGGTAGGCATGTGCAACCCAAGGGTGAAAGGGAGCATGTGCACTGACAGCCCCAAAACCTTTGATCACTGGACGCAGATGCTGGTGAACAAAGTCAGGGAGGCTGAAGTGCAGAGGCAAGGGGATGTGGATGAGGGGGATCCACTTCCCTATGCCAGCACTCCCAGCACCATCGCTAGCCAGTCTCCTCCACGCGAGCAACTGCCAACATGGGCCATGGGCATGGCTTCAATGCCAGGGCCCAAATGCACCAGCCCCCAGCTTCAGGCAGGTAGTGCCGAGGCTTTGCTTGCTACCGATCTGGCTGAGGATGTGGAGCCACTGGACTGCAACCCCTTGGCCTACTGGACAAGCCACAGCCAGATGTGGCAGGATCTGGCCACAGTTACCCAGCAACACTTGTCCTGTCCACCAACCAGCATTCCAAGCAAGGAGGTGTTCAGCATTGCTTGGGATGTTATCACACCTCACCACACCTGCTTGGATCCTACTTTGGTGGAACAGCTGGTGTTCCTAAAGGTGAACCTCCCACCTGCAGATGGACTGAGTGCCACCCTCCTCATTCCATCTGCACCAATTTCCTTTTTTGAGGTTTTGAAAAGCTGAGTAATGCCCCACTCAGCTGGAGGGGGCACTAACTGCATCAGCATCCAGGAGGGGAAGAACATGTCCCTGCTGAGCTCATTCCCCTGCCAGGATGAACTTGGAGGTATGGGATTGGGGCTATGGGGAAGGAAGAGGCCCTAGGTCCTGTACATAACTGCACCCTGTCAGGGTGGGGAGGCCTGGTGGGACTGCTGGCAGCACAGCAGCCCCATAAATGCCAGAACCAATGATCCCCTGGCAAAAGGCAGGTAGGAGGTACCATAACCGCCAGCTAATGCACACACATACACACAAAGTCTGGCTGGGGAACACCCAGACCAGTCATGTCTTTGGCCTGACACTCACTGGTTGCAGTGCAGTTGTGAGGCTGCTGGTGAGCTCAGCTTAGCTGCCCAGGATGCCAGCTTTAGGGTTGAAACCCCCTTTGTCAGGCTGAGGAAGTACTGGCAGTTGGTCCTGGATGGAAGGAATAGTAAAGAAGCCAGAGGCTGGCCTGGCCCGCAATGCAGGCAAGAAAGCCAGTCAGTGAAAATGGAAATGGAGGCTTCACAGAGGGAGGGACAGGGTGGGAAAAGGGGATGTAGCAACTCAGGTAAAAGTGCAGGGGTGCCTGGGGTGTCAGATGTCTGGCTGGTCAGTGTGCCAGAATCAACTGTGTATATTGAGTCCATGAGTTTCTGTACCTACTACCTAGGAGGCTGATGAAGTGACGTTCATAGGCCCAGCTCTGAAAAGTGGTTTGCATTGTAACTTTGCCTCCAGTCTCTCAGACCTGATCCTGAGAGGGAACGAGTGTTTATTTGGTGAGGAATGTGACCCCACCAGTAGATCGGTTTTGTTGTCTTTGATAGATTCTGGTGTGCAGTTGGTGGGGGTACTTGAGATAGTTGGCAAGTTTTGTGTTTTGAGCTGTAGGAAGTTGGCTTCGGTTCTAGTGATGAGATTAGGTGCTTGTTTGAATGTACAAACCACTTTTCAGAGCTGGGCCTATGAATGTCACTTCATCAGCCTCCTAGGTAGTAGGTACAGAAACTCATGGACTCAATATACACAGTGGAGTTCTGGCACACTGTGACCAGCCAGACATCTGACACCCCAGGCACCTCTGCACTTTTACCTGAGTTGCTACATCCCCTTTTCCCCGCTATCTTCTACTGCAGCCTATCCCTCACCCCCTGACACCTCCATGTCCATTTTCACTGATTAGCTTTCTTGCCTGCATTGCGGGCCAGGCCAGCCTCTGGCTTCTTTACTATTCCTTCCATCCAGGACTAACTGCAGGTACTTCCTCAGCCTGACAAAGGGGTTTTCAACCCTAAAGCTTCCAAAGATACCTTTTTTTTTTTTTTTTTTTAAGTACTCCTTTTTTTCCCATAATACACATATAGACAAAAAAACACAAGACAAGCCATCACACACCATGAATAATATCATTATGTCCAACACAACCTAACCCCTTTACTTCTTGCTCTCAATTCCTTTATAAAACGACAGGCTCTGTGACAGTTCTGTTTGGGTACCTTTGATGCTGCTGCTGATGCTACTGGTGTTGAGCCAGCTAAGTTATTTTACCTGTTGTCACGTAAAGCATAGTACCAGGCGTGAGGCTGTAGGGAAGGAGGTGGCCTCAGTGGGGGGCACTGCCATGTGCAGAGGCCCCAGCACCACAAAGGGTGCTGGAGGCTCTGCACACAATGTCACCCACCCACATGACAAGTTTTGCCTGTCAGCAGCTTGGAGTGCAGTTCCCCCCAAACCCCTGCACCAGTCTTTTTGAGACTCAGCAGGCTTTGTGGCCTCAGTAAAAGCTACCACCCCTGCAGTTTTTACCCCCACCCCTGCAGCATTGCAACAGACATGACTGGAGTTTTGCTTACAAGAATTTGGGGTACCAGTTTCCCCCCAAACCCCTGCACTGATCTTCTTGAAACTTGGCAGGCTTCATGTTCTCAGCAGAGGCTACTATCCCTGGAGGTTTCATCCAAATCATACAAAAAACAAAGTTATAGCTCTTTCATTGATTCCCCATTATACCCTATGGCTGGAATGCCAAGGCGGCTCCGAAGCTTCAGAGCCGCCTCGGCCAGATCAAGGCAGAAACCCAGTCCGGAGCTCCGGATCGGATTGCTGCCATCCGAAGCGGCCAGATCCAAAGCTGGATCAGATTGCTGCCAACTCACACAGGCCTACTGGATAGCTACATAGTCAATAATGAAAGCACTCCTTCCCCCCTCATTCTCCTTACTTTAGTTTGTTTTCCTGCAGGTAAGCCCAGCGTGAGCTTTAAAACTTGAAATGTTTTGACAATTTCAAAACGGTTCGACTTGCCTTGTTTTGTTTCAAGGCTGTTTCCAAGCTCTCCGTTTCATTTCGATTTTGCTGTTTTGTGCTCTAAACCAATCAAAACAGCGCTGAAACAAAAACTAACAGTGAAATTTTACACAGCCCTAATACTTATGTGCTGCAATACCAGGGTGGGGGTGTCCCCATGAGTGGAAACAAATTTCCTCAGGGACAAACAGCAGTGGCACAATGTGCTGCTGCTTTTGCTTGACCCAAGGAAACAGTTGTGGAAACATGCTCTGACACTCGACATGGTGTCCTGGGTCAGGTAGGGGAGCTGGGGCCACCACTTGGGCTGGCCCCTGCAGGCTTACCTGGGGTCCCAAGGGTCTCTCCAGTGGCTGCAGCCATAGCAATTTAACAGCACAGAACCTGGCCAGCAGCCAGAGCATGGCTTCAGCCAGCCAGGCCCCAGTTTCTGGTGGCACACCCTACCACCCCATGCACCACCCAGTGTGAAAAAAATCCACTGTGTGCTGCAGATTAGCAGCACAGAGAATGCCTGCATCTGCAGTGTGTGACACCACAGACTGCATGTCTGAGCTCTTCTGGACATGCCCTAGTGGTCTTGCTGCTTTGTGAAACATTTAGCCCCAAGTAAGATGCTGTATACAGTCCATGGAAGTTAGAGTTCCCTGCTCAGCTATCTTCTGCAGACCCTTTACTTGGGTGCTTGTCTGTTATGGTGAGCCTGCAGCTTGTAAACTTGGGAAAGATTTCCTACTAAAGCAATATGATGCTTACAGGTAAGTGAGAGAATGATCAAGTCTTACAGGCAGTGTCCAGTGGAGCAGGAAATCAAATGTAGGTATCAGAATTCAAGGATAGAAACATACTCGTCTAGGTGCTATGTTGTCTACAGATTGAAAACAAGGGGACTTCTAGTTAGTATTTTCAATTGTAGAACTGGTGTTTCAACACTTCTATTTCTGTTCTAGGTTAGTGAACATCTTAACCAAAATCTTGTAAAAGATGAGGATTGGTCCCTTTATATGTTCAACGGTCAACGAGCACAAAGACTCAAGATCAATGAAGCTAGTGAAGCCTTCTCAGAGGAGCTGGCAGAAGAAACTGAATTTCATTCTACACTCTATCACATGATTAAAGATTTTGCCAGTGAACCAGCAATTGAGAGAGTAAAAAAAGCAAGCTGCCTATTTACTGATGCTGTGTACCAGCTACTTCTTGGAACTAGAGTTTTAACATACTCTTAAAACCAAGATTTAAAAAAAAAAAATTTATTGAGCATTAAAAAAATTGGTCAATAAAGTCAGCTTTGAAATCCATCATTTCACATTCAGATAGTCCCAACAGCCTTAAAATGACTGAAAGTAGCTTTCTGCATTTAAAGACTATCATTTTCCTTCCTCTCTAGCAGTTGGGAAATTTAATCCTGTTTATTGTTTCAAATACCTGTTTTTAACATTCTAAAGCTGAATGAAATATGGAAGGTGAAAGTCTCTTTTTGATAGTTTAAGTTGTGCTTCTCTGGTGAAAAAAATCACTTCAAAAGCAGTCTAAAAGCATCAAACTAGCTTTAAATACACCTCTCAGCTCCTCACATCTATAGATTTACTCAACTAAAACAGAGGTATTATGTTAGTTCACAACAAAATGCCACACAGAAAAAAAAGATTACTATGCAAACCAAAAAGGTTCTAATCCAGTGTTATGTAGGTGGTGGTCCATTGTGTCGAAGTCCAGTATATGGCCACAACAGCTTTTGTAGTGAAGTCCAGGAATTCCCAGTTCCCACAGGAGCTGCATCTGCTGGTCTTTGAAGAGACAGGCCAGTGAGAAAACTTGTGAATGCAGCAAGGAGGACCAGAATGGTAACCGAAATCCATAGAGTCTTGTTAGCATCACAAAAGGAAGTCTTGAGATGAGAAACCCATGAAGACATCATGTTGCAGCTATGGAGAAGCACATAACACAGGTTTTTTTACTTAAGCTATCATTTTACAATCTGAAACCTAAAGACAAGGCTGTTAGCTTTCCGTTAAATACCTAAATTTAAAGCCCAGTCTTCCTGGCCAGTATTAAGGGCAGGTTCCAAAAAACAATTAAGACTCTGATCACCATATCAGAATCCACACTCTTAAAGCAAGCACCTTCATTCCCTGATCAACAAATTCAGGTGGTATTAACAAAAGCACAGAGCAGGGAGTCACCTAAAACCAGCAGTTCAGAATGCTAAAGATACCCATGTTCAAATATTACACCTCTCTGGGGTTCAAATGTCTATTAGCCTTGAGTGAAAAAGAGTGGTATATTCTGCAGTGTATTCTGCAGCTGGGGTAGGTCAGTCCCTCTGCCTGAAACTCTTGCACAGTATAGTGAAAGTGACCAAGCTCCAGTGCTTGTATGCAACCAAGTCTGTCAACTAGTGCTTATAGCCCTCATCAGGGAAGAGCAAATACTGAAAGTCTAGCCCTGCTCTACTGCATACTTGAATTATGTTAGATCAATAATTGAACTAAATCTTGTCTGAAGCCACAGAGATTTTAACCAGATGTCTTAATTCAGCCATATTTAAAAAGCTAGCACCAACAATTAGGTCAAGAATATGCTTCTACTTCCTCCTAACTTCACCTGAACACTTCCCCTTACATGGATTCCTGTTTATAAGTGAGGGATGCAAACGCATACTCACGTCGAGTTTAGAATCCATTTTGATGGATTTTTCCCTTTTTCAGCAACACTCATCTTCCTCTGTTGGTCTCCTCTTGTTTCTTCAACTGGTGGTTCCAACTTTTTGTTTCTGTCGATAAGCATTGAAAAAAAAAAAAGGTAAGCTTCTCCAGTAAGTACTTATGAGCACACCAAATATTTATTTTGGTTTATAGCACCAAATAGTTTTCCCATAAAATATGTATATCAAGGAAAATGAACACTCAAAAGGAATGTGTAAAAGCCTTGGAAATTAAATGATCTAAACCTACTTTGTTTCAGAGCATTCTTCCTCATATTCTGTCCAGGAATACGTGCTAATGAATCGTTGCAGTGAAGGACGCTTCTCATTTTGCTTTGCTCCTAATCTTCCCCTGTCAAATGGAGACAACATGTTCTTTACTGTTATTATGTAAAAGGATTTAGCCAAATTTTAGTGGCAAACTAGAATTTAAACAGCTTCAGCTAAAATTAGTGTGCTCATTTGGACTAAGTTGTATAACTTTAGTCCACAGTTTTTGCAGCCTAAAGTTTAAATACTTGATTTCATTAAGCATAGTAACCCAAAATCACCTGATTTCACAGCTCTCAGGCCCTTACAAACTGAAGTCACCCAGAACTATGAAGGATCTTTGTGCCTCAAATTTAAGTACAGACAGAAGAGTCAGGCATTATTTAGGCACATAGTCTTACAACCACTTGACTGCAAGCATCAAAATTTGCAAAACTGATAAAAAAAATCTACTCTAGGAATAAGCAGCTAGCTCTGTGGGCCAGACCTAGCTGCAAAGCCATTTGATCTGCCCTTCAGCTGTGTTTGGCAGCAGTTGCTCTCCATGGGGAGACGTTGCAGCTGTAGTAACTGGCTTCTATCACCCACCTGCCCACCTCTGACCTGAGCCATGTCATTCCAGCCCACAATGTGATAAGGTTGCTGACTGCAGATCCACTCTATGCAAGTATAATACTTCTTTCACAAGATGCTTTGTGAACAACTCCTCTGGAACCATTTATCACAGCTATTGATCAAGCTGAAAACTAGGGCTGTGCAAGGCTTTGGACAGAGCTTTGAATTTGGAGAAGCTTCAGTGTCTGAAGCAGCATGTCCAGGTCAAAGCGCTGGCCTCGTTAGGCTTCCCAAAGTGGTTCGGAGTTTTCGAAGCACCTCGGAGATCCAGCCATAGGGTATAATGGGGAAAAAGTATCTATAAAACTTTGTTGTTTTTTGTCCAATTTGGATGAAATATTCAGGGATGGTAGACTGTGCAGAGAGCATGAATCCTGCCAAGTTTCAAGAAGATTGGCACAGGGGCTTGGGGGGAACTGCACCTCAATTCTTGAAAGCAGAACTCCTGTCATGTCTATGTGTTACAACACAGGGGAGTCAAAACTGCAGGGCTGGTAGCTCTTGCTGAGGCCACAAAACCTGCCAAGTTTCAAGATCGGTGCAGGGGTTGGGTTGGGGGGGGGGGGGGGGG